ACCTATCCCAGACATCCCAGCACCAACCTATCCCAGACATCCCAGCACCAACCTATCCCAGACATCCCAGCACCAACCTATCCAGACATCCCAGCACCAACCTTATACCAGACACCAAGCACCAATATTATCCCAGACATCCCAGCACCAACCTTATCCCAGACACCCCAGCACCAACCTTATCCCAGACACCCAGCACCAACCTTATCCCAGACACCCCAGCACCAACCTTATCCAGACACCCCAGCACCAACCTTATCCCAGACACCCCAGCACCAACCTTATCCCAGACACCCCAGCACCAACCTTATTCCAGACAATCCAGCACCAACCTTATTCCAGACAATCCAGCACCAACCTTATCCCAGATACCCCAGCACCAACCTATCCCAGACATCCCAGCACCAACCTATCCCAGACATCCCAGCACCAACCTATCCAGACATCCCAGCACCAACCTATCCCAGACATCCCAGCACCAACCTTATACCAGACACCCAAGCACCAACTTTATCCCAGACATCCAGCACCAACCTTATCCCAGACACCCCAGCACCAACCTTATCCCAGACACCCCAGCACCAACCTTATCCCAGACACCCCAGCACCAACCTTATCCCAGACACCCCAGCACCAACCTATCCCAGACATCCCAGCACCAACCTTATCCCAGACACCCAGCACCAACCTTATCCCAGACACCCCAGCACCAACCTTATCCCCGACATCCCAGCACCAACCTATCCCAGACACCCCAGCACCAACCTTATCCCAGACACCCCAGCACCAACCTATCCAGACATCCCAGCACCAACCTATCCCAGACATCCCAGCACCAACCTTATCCCAGACACCCAGCACCAACCTTATCCCAGACACCCCAGCACCAACCTTATCCAGACACCCCAGCACCAACCTTATTCCAGACAATCCAGCACCAACCTTATCCCAGATACCCCAGCACCAACCTTATCCCAGATACCCCAGCACCAACCTTATCCCAGATACCCCAGCACCAACCTATCCCAGACATCCCAGCACCAACCTATCCAGACATTCCAGCACCAACCTATCCCAGACATCCCAGCACCAACCTATCCCAGACATCCCAGCACCAACCTTATACCAGACACCCAAGCACCAACCTTATCCAAGACATCCCAGCACCAACCTTATCCCAGACACCCCAGCACCAACCTTATCCAGACACCCCAGCACCAACCTTATCCCAGACACCCCAGCACCAACCTTATCCCCGACACCCCAGCACCAACCTTATCCCAGACACCCCAGCACCAACCTATCCCAGACATCCAGCACCAACCTTATACCAGACACCCAAGCACCAACCTTATCCAAGACATCCCAGCACCAACCTTATCCCAGACACCCCAGCACCAACCTTATCCCAGACACCCCAGCACCAACCTTATCCCAGACACCCCAGCACCAACCTTATCCCAGACACCCCAGCACCAACCTTATCCCAGACACCCCAGCACCAACCTTATCCCCGACACCCCAGCACCAACCTTATCCCAGACACCCAGCACCAACCTATCCCAGACATCCCAGCAGCAACCTATCCAAGACATCCCAGCACCAACCTATCCAGACACCCCAGCACCAACCTTATCCCAGACACCCAGCACCAACCTTATCCCAGGACACCCCAGCACCAACCTATCCTAGACATCCCAGCATCAACCTTATCCCAGACACCCCAGCACCAACCTTATCCCGACACCCGCACCAACCTTATCCAGACACCCAGCACCAACCTTATCCCAGACACCCAGCACCAACCTTATCCAGACACCCCAGCACCAACCTATCCTAGACATCCAGCACCAACCTTATCCCAGACACCCAGCACCAACCTTATCCAGATACCCCAGCACCAACCTATCCCAGACACCCAGCACCAACCTTATCCAGACACCCAGCACCAACCTTATCCCAGACACCCCAGCACCACCTTATCCCGACACCCCAGCACCAACCTTATCCCAGACATCCCAGCACCAACCTATCCCAGACATCCCAGCACCAACCTTATCCCAGACACCCAGCACCAACCTTATCCAGACACCCCAGCACCAACCTTATTCCTAGACATCCCAGCACCAACCTTATCCCAGACACCCAGCACCAACCTTATCCCAGATACCCCAGCACCCAAACCTTATCCCAGACACCCCAGCACCAACCTATCCTAAACATCCCAGCACCAACCTTATCCCAGACACCCCAGCACCAACCTTATCCCAGACACCCCAGCACCAACCTTATCCCAGACACCCCAGCACCAACCTTATCCCAGACACCCAGCACCAACCTTATCCCAGACACCCCAGCACCAACCTTATCCCAGACATCCCAGCACCAACCTATCCCAGACACCCCAGCACCAACCTATCCGACATCCCAGCACCAACCTATCCCAGACATCCCAGCACCAACCTATCCCAGACATCCCAGCACCAACCTATCCCAGACATCCCAGCACTAACCTATCCCAGACATCCCAGCACCAACCTATCCCAGACATCCCAGCACCAACCTATCCCTGGCATTTTTTTGACAATTTCTATAACGAATTAAATAACCACAAAATGGCAACAAATTATACAAAAGTATCTAATCATGCCAGTGAGACTGGACGTCACGCTGCATAATACACCACTGACATCATAATGCAGCTCCAAGTTCATCAAATATCGTAAAATATCATAAAATATTTGCCCACATCTCAAAAGTCAGATTTGTTTATCTTTAACCAAGTCGAGTATACGTCATAGGTCGTCCTGAAGTCTCCTCTCACCTGACATATATTGACGTTATTATGAATATCAGAGGCTGCACATGCAATATTTTTGCAAAATGGAGAGAGTAGGAGGATTTACCTGGTATTATATTAGATAATGTAGGCTCCCAGAGGCTGGTCTCTGAAGTCGACGATTCTCGCTACTCAAAAAAGGAGGTCAGACCTAAAATGAAATTTATTGCTCAGAACAAAATTTTGTTAGTAATGGTGATAAAATGATATAATTAATAATAACACTATTTATTCTGAAAAATCTACAAATATTTTACACTATATAGATTTATAAAATGTGTAGAATGTACATTACGTAAATTTAAGCTAGGATAACCTAGTAAACTCAAATAAGAATTCATTTTCACCATTACTGAAAATTATATTTGACGCCGCTAAGCATAAAACTAGCGATGAATTACAATTGATAAAATAATTAAATTTGGTTCGTACCCCAAGTTATTTTATCTGCTGGACTATTTTTTTTTATTTAAAACACTTCTTAAATGAATAAGAAATTACTCGCATAAGCACAGTTTGTCAAAAAAAAAAAATAATAATGAAAGCATTCCAGTTCATAAACAATTCACACATACAACCCCTTCTGCTCATGAGTAAGGACCCCAATTGAAATAAGTCACTTTATCTGACTTTTATGGGTTACCCAGGTTCTCTACACACATGCTGCTATGTATGATAATCTATGTAAATTTATTTGTGTATACCTAAATAAACTTGCTTACTTACTTACTTACTTACTTACTTACTTACTTACTTACTTACTTACTTACTTACTTACTTACTTACTTACTTACTTACTTACAGGTACGCATAAGTACAATTATCATATCTAGTAACATATGTGTAAATTACCTAGGATAACCCAAAAAAGTAAGACACTTATTTCCATTGGGGTCCTTTGTATTTCCACTGGGGTCCTTGTATTTCCATTGGGGCCCTTGTATTTCCATTGGGGTCCTTGTATTTCCATTGGAGTCCTTGTATTTCCATTGGAGTCCTTGTATTTCCATTGGGGTCCTTGTATTTCCATTGGGGTCCTTTGTATTTCCATTGGGGTCTTTTTATTTCCATTGGGGTCCTTGTATTTCCACTGGGGTCCTTGTATTTCCATTGGGGTCCTTGTATTTTCACTGGGGTCCTTGTATTTCCATTGGGGTCCTTGTATTTTCACTGGGGTCCTTGTATTTCCATTGGGGTCCTTGTATTTTCATTGGGGTCCTTTGTATTTTCATTGGGGTCCTTGTATTTCCATTGAGGTTCTTGTATTTCCACTGGGGTCCTTGTATTTCCATTGGGGTCATTGTATTTCCTCTGGGGTCCTTGTATTTCCACTGGGGTCCATGTATTTCCATTGGGGTCCTTGTATTTCCATTGAGGGTCATTGTATATTCACTGGGGTCAAGGCAGAGTACCATGAAGAGCAAGCGTAGTCCATATGACATTGTATAAGGGCTAGACATAGGGTCCTGCGAGCCTCAGTAGGTAGACACTGTGCTTGTCTGTACAGGAACTTCAGTCTGGCATTCACTTTATTACACTGTCCCCTATTAGTTCCCTATCAAAATTGGCAGAGATTAGGATTCTAGCTAACAGAACTAGGGCGGCAGTTATATCCATCTCTGAATCCTGGTTGGATGTTACGGTGACTGACGACGAGGTCAAAATAGGTTAGGATATAAAACGCTGAGATAGGAATAGAAAAGGTGGTGAGGTATGTGCCTACATAAGTGTGGGTCTCATCCTTGGAGACAAGATTGAAGGCCCACAAAAATAAGAAAAACAGTCCCCGATGACGCACTGACTTTCTTGGGTTATCCTAGGTGGATAATTCTCAGGTTTAAATCTCCGAGCAACTCTCATCTTATTTTAACCTTACACAGCCTCGCTGGACCAACTTGCTGGGGCGCCCAGGTCCTCTTTCAGCTCTGCAGATTTCTAGGCCTGAGAAGAACCGGTTGTTTATTCAGGTGAAGGCATCTGGCTCTACTGGAGTTTCAGCAAGCAGGTCCACCTGACCGAATAAAGAACATGTGTTACAGTTTATATTTTCAGAGAAAACTAGTTCCTTTCCTGTTTCCGTTATAATTTGGTTACTAAATTTTCCCCTGGCTTCGGGAAGCAGGGTTCAACATAACATAAGCTGCGGTGGCCTTCAAAACCCTAACAACAACACAAGCTGGGTGGCACTGCTGGTGGTAGACTGTGTTTAGTTAGGTGGCATTACTGGTGGTAGACTGACACGCTCGTCTATCCCAGCCTGAGTGCCACTCCTGGTGGTAGACTGGCACTGGAGAGTTCGTCCATATCAAGCTGGCTGGCACTACTGCTGGAATATCCACTCTTGAATTATGTCGTCGACTTGTGAACTTTCATACTTTGTTTTGCCAATGGTAGGCTAGGATGTGGAACATGTTTTTTTTTTTTTTTACTTTCTAGGGTCATCCTGGGTTAAATGTTCATAAATTAGTGATGCATATATTAGTATTGCATATATTAGTGCAATTATCTGTGTGCCATCATGACCATTGTAAAAAAATATGGATGTTATATATTGTCTACGAAAAGCATTCTTGATAATTTTTTTTTACACAATTAAATTTGCAGACTAAGAGTTGTTCTCCCAGAGTTCCCAATGTGAAAAAAGTTATCTTAGGTTAATTTACATAATGTCCTATATATGTGTGGCCATAACACCTGTGTACCCTCAGTAGTATTATAGAATAAAAGTCACAATACCATGGCTGGAACAATTCACATTTAACACTCATTGGAACAAATCACATTGTATTTATTGTAGAAAGTCTGAATAAATGAAGAATGGGTATAATTGAAAACTGCTATATTAATGAAAGGAGAACATCTCTAGTAAGATTCCTTGATGCCAGTGAAAGGCTTTTGATCCAAGGAATTAGACTTGTCCTCCCCTTCCTTGGATTAAACCTGGTTGTCTCCCCATTACTCAAGCACTGTAAGACCCCTAGGGGTTTATTGTTTTCCCTAAATATGTAATGATAAGAGGAGGCAGTTATATTCTACTTTGATTAAGGTATTCATATGTTCAGTAGTTCTTTGGTTTTGAAACCCAAATTAACATTTTCTTTTGTCTTGCAGATGCTGAGACCTGAAACCCAGGATTAAAGAGTAGTGGTTTGTCTTGGAATATGGTCACATTTACAGCTGTCCTAATGGCTGCTGCTGAGCTGTCTTCATTATTTTCTATAATAGGAGTTCTAGTATGCTTTGCTGTCATGGCTATTTTTATTATCAGGTAAGAATACATATGGCTGAATATCTCTGTCAACTATATGAGGTGTTGTGTGGCAGAAAATAAGTGCCAGATTCAAACATTGGAAATAAATTCAGGCGTGGGAGCAGAGTTATGAAGCTAAAGCTACTATACTTTTGTGGCTGTTAACTCTGAGGCACTCTGAGCCTAGCTTACAGATGCAGAAGTAAACATCTGTAGATTCACACAAACTGACAAAACATTAAGGAATAGATTCGTTCACTTAGCTGGATTTTGGCTGGGGCAGTGCTTATTTTTTTTTGCTGTGAAACTCATTCATGAAGAACTGGATAATATATAAGTCATGTTATTTGACACCATTGGGTTATCCTAGGTTAGATCTCTAACTTACTATTCCATGTTCTCATATCCTCTGTATGCCCTTAAGACTAATGTTAACAGTTTGTGTTGGACCAGTAAATTTAGTAATAAACTCCCATTTGAATTTAACTTCTTTTTCACTAGTTACTCTACAGTTATCTTCTGCTTATCCTTAACATTCACACTCAATCAACCATGAATTTTCTTGCTGTTCTTCTCTACTTTTTTTTTTTTTAAACCTTTTCAGATAATTTTGATATATTTTTTAGCATTTTATGTACTGAAATAGTATCTACACATTTCTATAATTGACATTATATATAGTATTCTTATTCTTGTCTCAATTTGGATCCACTATTTTCATCAACTGCTTTTGCAAGTTATGTTATATGAATTAGTCTTTCTTTTGTCCCATACATTTCATTCTTACTTTGCATATATGATACTGTATATAAGAAAAGTACTGTATCATTCTCTCACTATACAAAGTGCTCTAGGTACTGAATCAGTTTCATGTTTAATGAATAAAGGATCAAGAGACTACTCTCTGCAATTAAGTGGCCTATTTGGGCTTAGCACTTCACAAAAAAAATACAATATGAATACTTCCAGCAGGCGTGGGTGAGCATGATAGATAGGAGTGAGTGGAGGCAAGTGGTTATTTTGACAATGTGCTGTTGGAGTGTGAGCAAGGTAACATTTATAAAAGGATTCAGGGAAACCAGTTAACCAGACTTGATTCCTGGAAGTGGGAAGCACAGTGTCTGCTTGCTGAAGGAAGGGTTCTGAGCTGTAATCTCAGCATGCCTCTGGCAAAATTTTGATAGAGTGAATAACAGTGAAATGTTTGTTGTTTTTCGGGTCACCCTACATTGGAGGGAGGTGGCTGGTGTTTTAAGAAAAATTCTCCTAATATTTCTGTGGCTTCACTTTTTTTTTCCTATCATTATTGGATTTTATTTTATACAGTGAAACCTCTGCTATCTTCTCCTCAGCTTTTTGTAAATCTCACATATCAGTACAATTTTATGGTGTGGGACCAGTTGTATCAAAGGTGTGCTAGAGTACGAGAGTTTGTGATGGCCATTAGCTTAGGCAAGTGCACAGCTCTTGGGTTTCTTCTCTTCACAACCTCGGTACTTGCACCACTATGTGACAGTGATACTGATACTGTGGTGTTGATGACAAAGATATCCTACCTCAAAATACTGTATTTCTTCGCTGATAAGGGTGACTTGTTAATGAAGGTGTTACTGTATCATTATTATTTCTTTTTATGTGGTACAAAAATAATGTAGTTTGCATGTAATGAAAGACTGTTAGGTACAAAAGAAAGCCAGAAAAGATGTATCGACTTAGAGGATCTACTATATTCATGAACAGCCTTTAGCTGTTATAAATGTTGCATCTTAATTGGTTCATGAAAATATTTTACCATACTGTACTTGAAAGGTAGTTGATTCAGACCTCTCACAAGTAATTTTTGTTTGTGTTTTGAGTATTTGCAGGGTACAAGGTGGAAATGTGTTTGGCAACAGTGTTGTACATTTCATTCCACCTCCCATGGCTCAAGTTGATTTCCAGAAAGTTCCTGTTCCATTCTCTCTTGAGTTGCACAAGCCCAAGGATGCATCATTTGCAGGTAAGTTCTACCAGCAGGCAAGTTATTGGATTAGATTTATGAATTTTAATGTGGGTTTTATGAGACATGCTATAAGGGTACAAGTTCTTGGTGTCCCTTTCTCAGGCTCTTCGTTGGCTCACAAGCATTAATGTGTGTGTTGTAGTTTGTAATTTTAAGCTTCAGTTTCAATGTTCCTTAAATACTCCTCATAACCAGGATCTTTTCATTGTGTATGGATTAAATGTCACCTAATTTTGTATAACAGTTACATACATCTTCTTTCAACAAACCGGCCGTATCCCACCGAGGCGGGGTGGCCCAAAAAGAAAAACAAAAGTTTCTCTTTTTAAATTTAGTAATTTATACAGGAGAAGGGGTTACTAACCTCTTGCTCCCGGCATTTTAGTCGCCTCTTACGACATGCATAGCTTACAGAGGAAGAATTCTGTTCCACTTCCCCATGGAGGTAAGAGGAAATAAACAGGAACAAGAACTAAAAAGAAAATGGAAGGAAACCCAGAGGGGTGTGTGTGTATATGCTTGTATATGTATGTGTAGTGTGACCTAAGTGTAAGAAGAAGTAGCAAAATGTACCTGTAATCTTGCATATTTATGAGACAGACAGAAGACACCAGCAATCCTACCATCATGTAAAACAATTACAGGCTTTCGTTTCACACTCACTTAGCAGGACGGTAGTACCTCCCTGGGCGGTTGCTGTCTACCAACCTACTACCTACATACACTTACATACATTTTGAAAATAAAGATTTATTTAGAAACCCATTGTATGCATAGTAATTTTGTGTAAGACTAAGAAGTTTAATTTTCTTGTTGATATGAACTGCAATAATTTCCTATATACATTAATACAAATTATAATAATGTACAGATTTGTAAAAACATTCATTATCTAAAAGTTGATTTTGGAAAACTACTGTTCAGTATTGTAGTTACATTATGGAGCAGTGGTAGTACACTTGACTTTGTACCTAGGACCAAACCCTGTGAGGCAGGACATATAGGCAAGTCTCCTGATACCTGCAGCCCTGGTTACCCAGCAGTAAATAGATATTACCAAAAAGTTAGTTGACTAAATTGTGAGTTACATCTTGGAGAGGACCTAAACAAAGAACATCAGTGCAAATAAGTCACATTACTTGACTTTCTTGGGTTATCCTGGTTTATTAACCTTCCGGGATTACTAATCATAATACATTCGTTGTCCTCATAGTTTTACCAAAACTTATTATATTATGCTTGGCATTTCAGATAACGAATACTTCAGCTTAGCAAAACTTAGTATAAATACATTGGTTGATTATTATATAATACATAACTATAAAAATAGCAATAATTTTTAGAATATTGTTCATTACAAGAATTTGAATTTTTTTTTTAATACTCTGGCTGTCTTCCACTGAGGTTGGGTGACCTGATAAAAACAAGGAAATACTTTCATCGTCACTCATTCAATTGCTGTTTTGCTAGAGGTATGCCGACATTTTTCAGCTTGAATTTTGAGCTGTATCATCCTCATGCCTCCTTCAGAGTGCAGGCACTGTACTTCTCACTTCCAGGACATAAGTCCAGTTAAACAAAAAAGCACATTACCATGGCTGGAACAATACACAAAACAACCTGTACACAGGAGAGAGAAGCTTCTCTCTCCTATGTGTGGGTTATTTGTGTATTAGTCCAGTTAACTGTTTCCCTGAATCCCTTAATAAATGTTACCCTTCTCATACTTCAACAGTATGTAAAGTCATAAACACCACTTGGTTCCTCTCACTCCTATCTGATGTTCTCAAACAAGCCCGTTGAATGTCAGAGCCTTCAGCATGCAAAAGCCTCCTTTACTCCTAACCCACCCCCTCACCCCAACCATTCCTGGGATGACCCCTACTCTTCTTCACTCCACAGCAAAGTTATACACCCTTTTAGTCATCCTACTTTGCTCTGATCCTCTCTAAATATCCAAACCACTTCAACACTTCAGCCCTCTGAATAATACTTTTAGTAACCCCATGCTTTCTTATGCTTCCAAGCTCTGAATTCCCTATATAATATTCACACCATACATTTCCCTCAAACATGACATCTTCACTTCCTCCAGCTTCTTCCTCACTGCAACATTTAAAACCATACTTCACACCCATACAATTTTGTTGGTATCAGAGCACTCTGGTACATTCCCCTTTTTCCTTTCCATTCAAAGGTTCACCTTATCTTTCACAGCTCCATCTGCCAACAAGTTCCCTCCCAAATATCTGAACACCTTTACTTCCTCCATGCTTCCTCCCTCCAATCTGATACTCAATCTTTCATTGTCTAGATTTTTGTTGTACTCATCACCTTGTACTTTCTGTATGTACTCTTTTAATTTTGTTTACATACCCTCTAAAATTTCTCCACTAACTTTTGCAGCTTCTCAAAACCTCTAAAAAAAAAAAAAAAAAAAAAAAAAGCATTGGCAAAGAGCTACTGTGACAACTGCCATTTGGTATCAGATTTATTATCTTTTAATTCCTGCATCCTGGCATTAGCTTTTTAAAACCCCATTTATAAATATGATAAACATCTATAGTGACATCACACATCTCTCTCTTAAGACCTACTGTTACTGGAAAATGATCCCTCCCCCCTCTCCTGTTTACCTTAATTTGAGCCACACTATCCATATAAAAACTCTTTACTGCTTTTAGTAACCAACCACCTCTTCCATACATTTGCAACATCTGCCACATTGCTCCCATGTCCGCCCAATCATATGCCTTTTCTAAACCCATAAATGTAACAAAAAGTTCCTTACCCATGTAAGTATCATTTTCTCGTATGCTTCGGTGTAAACACTTGATCTACACTTGCTGCACCCTTCCTAAATCCTGTTCCTTTGCAGTCCTACTTTCTATCTTTCCCTTAATTTTCTCAATAATAATTCTACCATGCACTTTACTCGGTGTACTTAACAGGCTTGTTTTCTCATGATTCTTACATCCTCTTTTATTATCTTTTCTCCTTATACAAAGGAACTATGCATGCTCTCTGCCAGTCTTTAGGTATCCTCCTTCCTTTCATACAAATATTAAACAAATTATAGGTAGTAGGTTGGTAGACAGCAACCGCCCAGGGAGGTACTACCGTCCTGCCAAGTGAGTGTAAAACGAAAGCCTGTAATTGTTTTACATGATGGTAGGATTGCTGGTGTCCTTTTTTCTGTCTCATGAACATGCAAGATTTCAGGTACGTCTTGCTACTTCTACTTACACTTAGGTCACACTACACATACATGTACAAGCACATATATGCACACCCCTCTGGGTTTTCTTCTATTTTCTTTCTAGTTCTTATTCTTGTTTATTTCCTCTTATCTCCATGGGGAAGTGGAACAGAATTCTTCCTCCGTAAGCCATGCGTGTTGTAAGAGGCGACTAAAATGCCGGGAGCAAGGGGCTAGTAACCTCTTCTCCTGTATATATTACTAAATGTAAAAGGAGAAACTTTCGTTTTTCCTTTTGGGCCACCCCGCCTCGGTTGGATACGGCTGGTGTGTTGAAAGAAGAAGAAAGATTAAACAAATACACCAACCACTCCAGAACTATATCCCCACCTGCTTTTAACATTTCCATCTTGATCCCATTTCGCTCCTGTAAGATGTTATACTTCCCTGCCCACTGTATAAAATCACTGCCTCTCTTTCTCTTCAAAATACTCCCTCTGTCTTCTGAGTACCTCCACCTTCTCATCTTATTGCTTCCCTCCTTTGTTATTAACTGCTAAATTCAGTTGTTCCCTAGGCTTTCTCAGCTTATTACTATGACTCCAAAACTTTTACTTATTCTCATCAAAATTTATTGATAAAGCCTCACTCATTCACTCATTAGCTCTCCTTTTCCACTCCCTCACCACTTTTTAAACTCTCATTTGCTCTCCACATTCTCTGCCTTTTATACATCCTACATTTTAAAAGGCTCACATAAATTACCCGCACAAAGCAGACTGAAACTTATGACAACTTTTCACTCCAGATTGGACAATTAACTAGTTACACTAGTGACTAGTTAATAGTCCATAATGTTGTCATAAGTTTCAGTCTCCTATGTACAGGTTATTTGTGTATCATTCCAATCATGGTATTGTTCCTTTTTTTAAGGAGGGGTTTGGGATATTGGCAATTTGGAGGGACGTCTAAGCTGTCGTATCTGAGCACCTCTGGAAAGACAGTGATTATGTATGAGTGATGGTGGAAGTGTTGAATGATGAAAGTTTTTTCTTTCTTTTTGGGTCACCCTGCCTTGGTGGGAAACAGCCAACGTGTTAAAAAAAAATTAAAGTACAGTACATTGAATGTGGTATTCAATAAATTTGTTGCTAAGTTCTGTAGTGGTAAAGTGACTTGGAAACTATGCAATGAATTATTGTATGTGAAAGTTAATATGTTCTACAGTATTAATTTACAGAAGATGGACAACACTAGAGTTATTTCTGACCTTACTGTTGTGCCATCTTAAAAACCTGATACTTTTTATGGCTACTTTTAAAGACACTAAAGCCCTAGTTAAATCTTAAATACTTTTGGTCATTATTTTTGCAGCATTCATAACAGGATGGTTTGCTTTTGGTAAAGACATATTATAAACTGAATTTTGAATGATTGACTAGGTAATATTGTTAATTATTTAACTATTTTCTTTTGCAGATGTTCAGTTGAAGCTACGAAGTGAAGTGTCATATGCTCTTCGTAGTTTCTGGGGTGTACCATCAGATCATCTTCACTCACTTCTCTTAGCTCCCTGGTCAACATTCTTCATGCATATGATTGAAAAACCTTCAATTAGAGCAGAAGTTATAGATGATGTCTTAAGGTACAGATTTTTTTGATTAGTTTTTATCTTGCTGATTATATTTTTTATCTTTGTATGGTATAGAGGGGTTTTAACTGTGACTGATGTATACTTTCATTTCTTCAGTTAACTTTAGGGTAATTTTCTCAATAAACATCAATATAATACAATGTTGCACACCTCTTGGTGGAGCCTGATTTGACAGCCCAAGCCACTCCTATTCAGGATTAATCTCCGATAATTTAATAGCTCTCAATTTCCTAGACTGCATGTACTTCTCCCTATTAATACCCTTGTTGAATTTGAACCCACTAAGGACACTAAAACATCAGTGACCACTCTAAAAAATGTTTTTTTCCAGCAATATAAATGCACCAAACTCGTGTTCACTGACATGAGCTGACTACTTTAACATCTTGCTAGTTACTGCCATCACTAACCTTGATGCTACCTTACTAGATAAGAAACATAATAAAGGAGGATCACTGCAGCAGGCCTGTTGGACCATACTAGGCAGGTCCTTTACAATCCATCCCACTAACAAAACATTTGCCCAACCTAATTTTCAATGCTACCCAAGAAATAAGCTCTGATAATTCTATCCACTCATTTGCAAGTCCCACTCAAATCCAACCCCTCAAACTCATGTATTTATCCAACCTAAATTTGAAACTACCCAAAGTCCTAGCCTCAATAACCCAACTAGGTAGACTGTTCCACTCATCAACTACCCTATTTCTAAACCAATACTTTCCTATGTCCTTTCTAAATCTAAACTTGTCTAATTTAAATCCATTACTGCGAGATGCTGAAATGAATCCTTATTCCATCTTGCTAGTTACCAAAATATTGACCATTATCCCACCTTGCTACTTACCAAAATTTTGAAAACACTGCAAGAAACCCAGAAATAAAGTTTATACTGTACCACACATTAAAAGTTTAACACAAAAATTACTGAAACCTTAAGAGGCATCAACCGGTAGAATGTTTTTGAGTCGACATCTTTCTCTTTGTCCTAATAAGTTTTTGCTTCATGTTTTTACAACCATCACTATAAGAAGTTTAGAAATGTCTTTTATAATGGCAGTTAATTATAGAAATGGGAGATTATCATGCTGTTATGTCCATTAAAAATAATATTTTTAATTTTTTTTATTCTTTTTTTTTTTTTTTTTTTTTTTCTCAACAAGTCAGCCGTCTCCCACCGAGGCAGGGTGACCCAAAAAAGAAAGAAAATCCCAAAAAAGAAAATACTTTCATCATCATTCAACACTTTCACCACACTCGCACATTATCACTGTTTTTGCAGAGGTGCTCAGAATACAACAGTTTAGAAGCATACACATATAAAGATACACAACATATCCCTCCAAACTGCCAATATCCCAAACCCCTCCTTTAAAGTGCAGGCATTGTACTTCCCATTTCCAGGACTCAAGTCCGACTATATGAAAATAACCGGTTTCCCTGAATCCCTTCACTAAATATTACCCTGCTCACACTCCAACAGATCGTCAGGTCCCAAGTACCATTCGTCTCCATTCACTCCTATCTAACATGCTCACGCACGCTTGCTGGAAGTCCAAGCCCCTTGCCCACAAAACCTCCTTTACCCCCTCTCTCCAACCCTTTCGAGGACGACTAAGTTATTTATCAGGTTAACTGGGTGGGTTCATGGAATTGTTGGTATTTGCATTGGCTGGTAGTGCCAGGCAGCCTCTGACAGAGGCATTGGTGGTGCCAGACTTGTAAGGGTTGTTAGTGTACTCTTTTGAGTGGTGTGTGGAACTATTTTTTTTTCTTGTTTGATCAGTGATCTTGTATTGTCTTGAGGGAGGGGGGGATGATGAGAAGTGTATACAAAGAACCCACACATAAGAGAATGAAATTTACGATGATGCTTTGGTCTGACAAAAACATAGCTAGTTTCATTCTCCTATGTGTATTTTGTGTGTGTATTATTCCAGCTTACCAATATTGAAGAATAGTTTGGCTGGAGCATTTCATTGATAACCTATATTTGGAGAAGAAACTTTATATTTTGGTCTGTTGATGACTTGATAATGGTCCAGTACAAACCAAAAGGTTTTTTAAAGTTTCCTTTCCAAATTGCAGGTTAATAATGAGCATATTAGAACTGTTTTTGTAGCAGTTGTAGCAGCTCTTGGAGACTACTGGATGACTTGTGGCAAGTTTGTTGGTATGTTACCAGTATATATTTATTAGTTACATAAATCAAGTTTCTAGGATTGAGAAAAGACATTAGCTTAATGTATAGGAGAGTGCAATACTGTACATATTTAAGGTGATTGAATAAATGATTGTGAATGTATTTTCTTTTTGGATCACCCTGCCTTGGCAGGAGATGGCCACTGAGGTAAAAAAAAAAAAAAGAAAACATTTTCTTAGATTTTTTATTAACTATTTAGGTAGAACAAAGGCCTATTATAGTCTGATCTCTTTTTTTTTTTTCAGAAATGATGTTACTGAGGAAAATGTGTGCATAAAGCAAGTGAACCTGTGTCCCAATTCTCCACCACTGTCTCTTGGAGAGTCCCCCAGAAAGCATTACCCACTGGTTGTGTGTATGGTGCGCCAGGATGCACCTCAGCATACTGATGGAAGTCAAGTGGTAAGGTGGAGGCACTGGGGTCCCAGTTTTAAGTTGTTATGGTAAAGTAAGTGTAATAATCACAACAAATGTAATTTTATTAACATTTCACTTTTTTGTAATAAAGACTGGTGCCATTATGTAGGATCAGTTATCTTCATTTTCATTACTCCATTTTCCACTTTCTTGCAGTTGAGAGGCACCATAACAGAAATTAAATTCTGATTGTCTAACCATTATCCTGGTGTATGACGCTCTGGCATGCATTCCATACAAAATACTTGTGTCCATGCTTACATACTAAGGGAATTAATAATCAATAAACATTTTAATATCGATGTAAAGTGTACACCTTAGAATTTTTTGTTTACTTCAAAATTTGCAATTATTGAAGGATGGATAAGGATGTTGCAATATGAAGTATTATTGAAATTGTGATGTCCATGTTTTTCTGGAAGGACAGCTGGAGAGTAAGTGATGGGAATGTGTTTTCGAGGCCTGGTCATGTACTGGGTCATGGGGGCATTGACCCCTGGGACACCCTCCGGGTAGACTCCTATGGGCCCCCCCTCATTATTATTACATTCATGAGGGGGAGCACCAGACCCATAGGAATCATTCAGTTCCTTGAGGAATGGAAGGAATTCAGGCTTGATTCAGAGTATTGGAGCATTGGTCTGATTCCTTGGATTGAGATCCCTTCACTAACATGAAGGGACCTTCTTGAGGGGGATGGGTCCCCCCATATTTCTAGAAACAGCCATTTAAAAAAAAATTCAAGTGAACTTAGTTCAAATCCTGGCAGCTTTTTATCTCCTGAAGAATTTGTCTTGCCTTTCAACACTTCATTACTGTGTATTATTGCACTTTTTTTTATAAATTTAACTTTCATCTTCCTTTCAAGAAGGGGTGCCTTAATGTTGATGAGAAACTGTGGATCCAAGGAAGTGTAGCAATCCTCTACCTCTTTAAACCTTATTACAGCACTTTTCCCCTCACATTCAGCAGGTGCTGCATTTTCTATACGAGTTTAATGCCTTCCTCCCTTCAAGGGACATGCGTGCCTTGATGTCAGTGTAGGACTCTTGGTCCAAAAAATTAGAGCAACCCTCTTTTTCCTTTGATTGATTCTGATAGTCTCTCCTATTTTCCTGGCACTGTATAGCCTTTATAGGCTTGGTCTCCCATTTTGCTGGCACTATATGGCCTTTATGGGTTTGGTCTTCTGTTTTCCTGGTGCACTATGACTCTACCTATGAATGTCTTAATAATAGTTAGCATTTCCCTCGGATAGTAATAGTAGCTTGTATTATTTGCTACAGTTATACAACAACCATTATGCTAATAACTTCTTCACCATTCACTTCTTAATTTTTTTTTTTCCAAATTTCATTGGCTGCAGTTACTACTAATTTTAACTTTTACAAGTTTGCATTGGAAGTCTGTAATTCTACATTCACAAATGAGTTACAATAAATAAAAATTCATACTGCAGTACAATATTATTTTGCATCTTTCACTTTCTTGTTCGCTTTCTAGGCCATTGACTATGTTCATGAAGTAGGAGACAAAATCTCCTGGCTAAATTATACTTTTGACTCCTTTGTTTCTTTTTTTTTTTTTTTTTGCAGTATGTGTGTACAGGACTATATCAGGCATAGTCTTTTTTTTTTAACTCAGATTTAGTGGACACTTGGACAATCCCTCTCCCTCCATTACTTTCTTATATCAGGGTGTCATTGTACAAATATTACAATATTTCAGGGGGCACTGATTACCATCATCCACATCAAGGATTCTGTGTGTCAGATTCCCTCCTGCATCCTCCATCAGTACCTAAAGCAGTACTCTGGTCAGCTGACCAAACTACAGGTAAATTACTAAATCTTAGATGAAGAATTAGACCTCATGCTTTAATTTGCATTTTCTTCTAGATAAATCATTACACGTGTAATACAGTGGACCCCTGACTTACGAACAGCTCCCAACTCAGACAATTATGTAAGTGTATTTTTGTAAGCGCTTCTGTAAGTGTATTTTTGGGGGTCTGAAACGGACTAATCTAATTTACAATATTCCTTATGGGAGCAAATTCGTTCGGTAACAGCACCCGAACAGCCTTCTGGAACGAATTAATATTGTACATCGGGGGTTCACTGTATTTATAAAATGGAAGGAAAGATAAAATTACCATTGCTGATGTTTGAGCCCATGGGGCTTTTGTTTTATGTTTAAAACAAGTTTAAAACAGTTTAAAAACTGTAGTGTAAAGCACCCTTCTGGCAAGACAGTGATGGAGTGAATGATGGTGAAAGTTTTTCTTTTTCGGGCCACCCTGCCTTGGTGGGAATCAGGCCAGTGTGATAATAAAAAAAATAATAAAAAAAATATTATACAGCCTCTCCTCACTTAAATACAGAGTTCCGTTCCCAAAACCACATCGGTAAATAAATTTGTCACTAAGCAAGGAGCATACTATAATGGTAGTGGGTTTGTGTCAACCATCTTTGATATTATTTTAATGTCACCTTTGCACCATTTATAACATTTTTAGTATTTTTTTAATGTTAATACAGTAGTGTACTGTATATTGTAATAAGCAGAATAGAGGAAATCAGCTCTAATATTCGTTATTTAAGTATGTATACTGGTCAGAGAGCCCGTCGTAAGTCCAAGTCGTTGGTAAACAAGTATGTTGGTAAGTGAGGAGAGGCTGTATTCACTCCATGGGGATGTGGAAAGGAATCTTTCCTCTGTCAGCTAGGAATGTTATAAGAGGTGACTAAAATGTCAGGAGCAAGTGGCTAGTAACCCCTTCTTTTGTATAAATTACTAAATTTAAAAAGAAAAGCATTTATTTCTTCTTTTTTTGGGTCTGCCTCAGTGGGAGACAGTCTGCCTCTGTGGGAGACAATAGAGATCTCCATGGGGAAGTGGAACAGAATTCTTCCTCCGTAAACCATGTGTGTCGTAAGAGGCGACTAAAATGCCGGGAGCAAGGGGCTAGTAACCCCTTCTCCTGTATATATTACTAAATTTAAAAGGAGAAACTTTTGTTTTTCCTTTTGGGCCACCTCACCGCAGTGGGATACGGCCGGTGCGTTGAAAGAAAGAACAATAGAGATGGTTAAACCGATTGTGTTTTATTGCTATTTATGGTGAAATATGGGAACAGGAAAGGTAAAATTTACTGGTTACATGAGGATACTGTTATGAATTCACTTCTGCTACAGAATGGTCAGTCCTTCCTAAGCAAACATTGGTTTCAGTTTTTTGGTCTAGGCTGTCAGTAAAGTAACTGACACTAGAATGTGAATGTGGGGTTCTACCTGATGCACATTTATTACAGAAAATGGGGCTGTATTTTCTATTTATGTTTCAAAATAGTCTCGCTTTATTATTGCTTAATTGACTTTAACCTAACCCTGACTAAATGTATATATGTAGAGAAACTGGCTTGAGCATATAAGGTTATGTTGACATTTGGAGGACATGTTAATGGTACATTGTTAGCAGTCCTGCTCATGGACTTAGACATTGCACCTTATATTAAGTGTTAGTAGAATCTTTATATTATTTTAAATCTTATTTAGAGAAATATATATAATGTAAAACCTTTTATTACAAGGAAGCAAGAAATTACCAGAATAAGTACTCGAGATAAAAAAGGAAAAAGTTTTTAATGTTTCAATTTTTTTATAAATTTGATAATTATTTTGACAGTTTGAGGCTAATTTTTAATTATATACAATTATGGATGACTAAATATAGTTTGTCACAATATAAATATACCTTAAATTTATTTGAAGGTTTTGTACACACAAGTAAGTGATTCAAGTCCAGGAGGTGAAAGCAAGAGCACCAATTCCTCTGATAAAGTACCTAGAGCTGAGAAAGTTGATGAGACACAAGAAGAAGAAGAAATACCTGAAATACCCTTAGAGGAAGCCTGTGTTATTTGTCAGGTAAGCTAGAGCTCTTACTACTTCATAAAAAAAAGGTACAGTTCAATGTAAGTTTAGCATTATCTCTTGTCCTGTAGCATCAATTCAAATACAGTAGATTCTCACATAAGTGATTACATTCCTGAAAATTGCAATGTGAAGCTCATGTTACATGAACTAAAGAACATGAGGGATAAATAGAGTTACATCCCTAAGGCATCATAAAAAAAGCCATACAAGTTTAGCTAAAATAATTTTTTCTTATTTTAAATTCTGGTTGGTGTCACCTATTGATATGCAAGTGTATGGAGAGGGTTAATGTGGCACTGTACAATAGTTGCACAAGCATGTGGCAGGCAGTATTAGCTACCAGCACCATCACCTATCTTCTAAAATTTTGAAGTCCTAGAGGAAGCTAGTGGTTGACTCAGTTTAGTGTGTATTCCTTTCACAGAAAATGGGCAGGGCAGTCACTCCACAGAGGATGTGCAGGGCTGAACATGGTACTGTGCTGGCCCTCAAATCCTTCAACAATAACAGCTGCTGTGACATTGAATATTATAGCTTCACTACAAGATTTTCTTGTTCAATAACCTTTTCACAGTTCATAATCAGTTACAAGCATATTCAACAATTATATAAATACAGCTAGAGTAGGTAAATGAGTGTTAAAAGCACAGGAATGTGTAATTATAGGTTACTAACCTGTACCACTTCCTTCCTTAACTACACACATTTAACCCTTTCACTGTCTCCCACATCAGTCTATGTTATTGGTGTCAGTGTCACTCACATAGACCTATGGTTTAAACGCATTGCCCTCGTATATGCTGAGAGCATTAAATTTTTAGCGTTAGAGAATGGGTTTGAGTGGTGGGTGTGCACACTACAAAAAATACTACCCCATACAGTAAATAACTGGAAAAACAAAACTCTGAGTTTGTGTGGCCTTGTATTAATTTTGACAGCCTTAGTACATATTAAAAACAAGTTGATCAGGTATACGAGTATTCACCAAACCACAGTAGAAGTAAGGTGAGGTGGGGTCAGATGAATCTCCTGTGGGAGATTCATCTGTAAAAGCTTGCAATTGTGGTCTCATTGGGGACCATGCTAACACAAAAATAACCTGCTCATAGGAGAGAGGAGCTTATGACGACATTTCAGTCTGACTTGGACCATTTGCAAATTGTGCAGGTTATTTGTGTGTTGTTCCAGTCATGGTATTATGCCTTTTTGTTACTTAGGAACCATGCTAATCTCCCTATGGTATATAGATATACTTATTGTAGCTAGCTGGCCCAGTGGCTTACACACTGGCCTGGAGTTTTACCACTCACTTGCTATGACTTCTAACCCCACTCGTACTGTGGTTTGTTTGCAATTATGTTAATATGATTTTGTGAGTTAGGAAATTAGGAGGAGGTGCGGGTTTACTAAAAGTATTATCCAGAAGGCTGAGGAGAGGTTGTTGAGGAGGTTCAGACATAGAAAGGATGGAACGAAATACGTAGAATGACTTGGAGAGCATATAAATCGGTAGTGGAAGAAAGGTGGGGTAGGGGTCAGCCTAGGAAAAGTTGGAGGGAGGAGGGTAAAGGAGGTTTTGTGTGTAAGGGGCTTGGACTTCAAGCAAGCATGTGTGAGTGTGTTTGATAAGAGCAGGAGTAGACAAATGGTTTTTAGGACTTGACGTGCTGTTGAAGTGTGAGCAAAGTAACATTTATGAAGGGATTCAGGCAGGCTGGACTTGAGTCCTGGAGGTGGGAAGTACAGTGCCTGCATTTTGAAGGAGGGAGTGTTGATGTTGCAGTTTTTTAATTGTAATGTAGGTGCAAGACAGTGATGGAGTGAGTGATGATGAAAATGTTTCTTCTTTTTTGGGTCATCCTGCCTTGTTGGGAGTGTCTTTGCTAGTATAATTGCTGCTTGTTTTATGTTTAGATCTCTCATTAATTATAATTCAATTATTCACTTCAGACCAAGAGGACTACTCGTGCCTTACTGCCTTGTCGTCACGTGTGTGTGTGTGATACTTGCTGTGGTCGCTTGGATAACTGTCCCATGTGCCGTGCTCGTATCCTTGCCTACTTTCTTATAGCTCCAGAAGACCCAGCATCTGCTCATGAGGAAGAAACAACAGAAATACTAGAGCCACCCTCAGCTTGGAGACGTTTGCATGATGCAGTAATGCGCATGTTTGTAGTACAACAGCAACAATAAAACTAGGAAGGTGTAATGCTGTGGAAAGTGATGTCAGGAAAATGTAGTTAATCTTTATTAGTAAATGTGTGTTTAAGTAGTATGGAAACACTTGTAATTTATTAGTACATACATACATGGCTTTAAGTATGATTCTTTTCTGCATAATTGTTTTGTACATATGACAGTAAGGGGCACCATCATGCAGTTGGTAATACTATGATTGGAATTACTAATCATGAAAAAGGGTTTGCTTCCTTGACCAGTAGGGCTAAGAGAGGGCTTGAAGATAAGATAGACATTGGTATTAAGATTATGGACAAAGTTAACTTTGCATATGTTAGGGTTACCACCTCAAAAAAAGGCAATGTGAAATGTATGGTAGAACCCCCGTATCCGTGGGGGATACATTCCAAGGACCTGCCATGGATACCAAAACTGTGGATAGTAGCAAACCCTATATACAAGTCCTATACATACCTTTTATGAAGTTTAATTGATAAATTATGCACAAGTGGAGAATTATCATTTTTTCACTGATTGGAAGCACTTCACAGCTTTTCTTAGGCTTTGAAGAACTGCCAGCTTCTCTACTTCTACGCTTTGGGGCCATTTTTATGCAAAATTTATGGGTATTTTTGGGCCATAGTAAACAGTGGATAACTGAAACTGCAGATACCAAATCAGTGGATACGGGTTCTACTGTATATATGTTTGCTTTGTCTTTTGTGTAGCATGAAATTTTTCTTAATAATGTAACAAAATATTTTTTTTGCATCTTTTAAAAGATGAGTTTTATATTCATTTGCCAGTTGATGACAAAGAAATATACAGGAGATATAAATGAAATGATTCATTGCATTGCTGGTGTGGTTGTACAATGAATTCCTTAGTAAAACTTAAATTGTTCATTTGGTAGTTACAGTGAGTAAATCACATTTAAAGGATTTTTCTTTGTATTTAACTGAAAGTCAAGTAATTCATAAATTTGCTTATTTAAACTTATTTGCATCTGCTTTTGTTTATTTTTGTAGTTATGTATATTTTATTGTTTATCAAAATTATACAGTACTGTTATGAATATTTTTCATCTTGCAGTATATACTTATATAGAATAGAACACTCAGTAGGTGAAAAGTGTTAGAATTATCTTTTTCTTAGGCAGTACACATTAGGCAAGTTACTTCATTATTATTATTATTATTATTATTACAATCAAAACTAAGTGCTAAACCAACAAGGGTCATAGAGAGTGACTTCATTACTTCAGGATTTAGTATTATCAGAGTATCTGTATTACCTCTGTTTTGTACACTAGTTTCAGAAATGTATGCATTGGTTTGCTTTTTAATAAAATTTTTTTTATAAGTTTCTTTTAATGTTTGCCCTGCACACAAGGACATTCCATGTGTAAGACGAGACAAAAGACAAAAATTTATGTCTTTGCAAAGTTTACAATGTCTGTGTATATTTTATACTTGTCAGGCACAAAGAAAGCCACTAGCATGCCGGGGCATTTCGGGCAAGATATAAATAGACAGCATTGTAGAATGCTGCCTGTCCTCTGATTCCAAAAAAATTTTTGCTTAAGTAATCCTAGGAAATGGAAATGTGATTGTTTTTAAATGGGTTGAAAAACCTGTCTCTGGTGTGTTGCAGATGCTAAATCATGGATACAGTATACTGTATACCATAAGTAATGCAGAGAAACCTGGATAGATTCATGCAGTGGTTGGATATGTAGATTTGTTTCAGTGCTAACAAAACTCGGGTATGACAATTTATTTTAATACTTGCCGTTTCCCACCAAGGCAAGGTGATCCAAAAGAAACACACTGGCAGCCATTCACACATAACCACTGTCTTTGTAGAGGCGTGCAGATGTAACAGTTCAGATGTCACTTCAAATAGCAAATATCCCAAACCCCATCTTTAAAGTGTAGGCATTGTACCTTCCACATCCAGAACTCAAGTCCAGCCAATCGATTTCCCTGAATCCCTTCACAAAATATTACCCTGCTCACACTCCAACAGCTTGTGAACTCCTATAAAGCATTCCTCTCCATTCCTATCTAACAAGCTCACACATGCCTGCTGTATGTCCAAGCCCCTTGCACACAAAACCTTTTTCACCCCCATCCTTTCCTAGGGCAACCTCTACCCCTCTTCCCTCTACTGCAGATTTATACACCCTCCAAGTCATTCTACTTTCTTCCATTCTCTCTAAATGACCAAACCACCTCAACAACCCATCTTCAGCCTTCTGAATAATACGTTTAGTAATTTCACACCTAATTTCCACACTATGAAACTCTGCATAATAATTACACCACACATTGCCCTTAGACATGACATCTCTACTGCCTTCAGCCTCCTTCTAGCTGCAACATTCACAACCATGCTTCACACCAATATAAGTGTGTTGGTACCACTATCCTACTCTCATACATTCCCTTTTTTGCCTCCATGGCAAAAAAGGGAATGCACCACCCACCTTTTTTCCTTCATCAATTCTATGACTTACCTTGTCCTTCATAAACCCATCTGCCAGTAAGTCTACTCCCAAATATCTGAACACATTCACTTCTTCCATATTCCCTCCCTCCAATCTGATATCCAACTTTCCCTTATCTAAATCTTTTGATACCCTCATCACCTTACCCATTTTCAACTTTCTTCCTTTACATACCCTCCCAAACTGGTCCACTAACCTTTGCAACAATATTAAGTACTAACAAATATAAAATGATGAAAGCAACAAAGCTGACATAATTGAAGAGAAGGACTGTGGAGTGGTCACTAACAATGACCTTTAGTACACAGCCCCCCCCATCCTCCTCAAGGAAGGTCCCTGTGATTGAACCTGTTTGTTTCCCATTTTCCTGGGTCTGTGTGACTTACAGGTTTAGTGCTTCCCCTTAAATAATTTAGTATATGGTGCTAGTTAAATTGTGTAGCTTTGAGCACCAAAGCCTGCAGAATGCTTTGTTCCACAGCTAGAAATTTAGAGTACAAATTTCCAGAAACTTTAAACCTTTACTGCACTCGTTATACTCCACTTTGACTTTGCTGTGCAGTTATGGTCCCCAAATTTTATAAAAGACAGAGCCAGATTAAGATTTTGTAGGCCCCTGGGCTACAGTTACTGAGACCCCCCATTGATATTTTCAAAAGGAAAAACAATTAATCACAACAGTCAACAGTTCATCATATATGTAAAGGAGGTTTTGTGTGCAAGGGGCTTGGACATGCAGCAGGCATGTGTGAGCATGTTAGATAGAAGTGAATGGAGACAATTGGTTGTTGGGACCTGACAAGCTGTTGGAGTGTGAGCAGGGTAATATTTTGTGAAGGGATTCAGGGAAACTGGTTAGCCAGACTCGAGTCATGGAAGTGGGGAGTACAATGGCTGCACTTTAATGGAGTTTGGGATATTGGTCATATCTGCACTCCTTTGCGAAGACAGTGATTATGTGCGAATGATGGTGAAAGTGTTTCTTTTTTGAGTCACCCTGCTTTTGGGGGGAGATGGCCGACGTGTTGAAAAAAAAATATAAACTTAAAGCAATAACTGTGAACACTTTCTGCTTAATCTCTGGAGGCCCTCCAGCAGACAGAGACCCCTGGGCTGCAGCCCCTAAGCCCCTAAGCCCCTAAGGCCTTAATGCAGCCTTGAAGACAAAGACAAACTGGAGAGGGTACAGGGATGGACAAAAAGCTTATGCTTTCATAAAGAAACAAACCATATAAAAAAGATTCAAAGCATCAATCTGTTCTTAATCAGTAAAATCTTTAGGATACAAAACCAACTGGATACACTTGTATCAAAAAATTATATTTGAAACGAAACCATAAATCTCCCAGGGTATAGCCTAAAAGCTATTAGTGCTAGAAGGTTAGTATTAGTACTAGTTACAGCATGCAACTGTCAACTGCTTCCACATTTCCTACCAAATAAAATAATTTTTCTATATGTGGAAACTGCTTGCCAACTTCTACACACTTGCACTGTGGCCAAAGTGGAGGGTTGGGTGAGAGCCTTCTGCTACACTATCCTAACTTGATATACATATAATTCAAAGTGTAGTTAGGCTTCAGCACGTATCCTCAATACAGACCAATGAGTTTCCTACTTTTGGTCTATGTACTGTACTCCAATGTATGAATTTCCCCAGTGGAGGCGCTTGCATGCCAATGAGGGGCTCTTGATCCAAATAAGTGGACATAACATCTCCTTCCTTGGAATGAACCTGATTGCTTTTAATCTCTCAAACCCTATATGACCCCTATGGGTTCAACGCTCTCCTGATCATATTATACAATTTAATAATAATTCAATGTACACTCCATGGATAAATAGAAAAGAATCCTTCCTCCATAAGCCATGTGTGTCATAAGAAGTGACAATAATGCCGGGAGCGAGGGGCTAGTAGCTCCTCCTACAGCAGCGCTGTAAGACCCTTGTGGGTTTAGCACTTAGTTATGTGTGTGATAATTTATATATTTAGCAATTTATACCTGGTGTGTCAGGGGTCAACGCCCCTGTGGCCCAGACCATGACCAGGTCTTATGGTGGATCAGGCCCTGATCCACCGCGAGGCCTGGTCATGGAACGGGCCAGGGGGGGTGTTGACCCCCCAAAACACCCTCCAGGTATAAACTGCTAAATATAAAAGGAAAAACTTTAGCTTCTTTATCTGGTCACCCTGCCTCGGTGGGTGACGTCCAGTGTGTTTAAAAAATCAATGAACACTCGTTCAGTATCTATTGCTGTTACATTCTCTCTCTCTCTCTCTCTCTCTCCTCTCTTAAAGAAAGAAATACAGTGGACCCCCGGTTAACGATATTTTTTCACTCCATAAGTATGTTCAGGTGCCAGTACTGACCGAATTTATTCCCATAAGGAATATTGTGAAGTAGATTAGTCCATTTCAGACCCCCAAACATACACGTACAAACGCACTTACATAATTGGTCGCATTCGGAGGTAATCGTTATGCGGGGGTCCACTGTAGTTCAGAGATAATGCAATAGCTGACAGCAATATTTCGGAGGTACAATAACAAACAATTACTTTAACAATAACAAAAGAACAAAAAGCACAAAATCCTCCATAGCGTTTGGTGGAATTTACTTTCATTTTGCCTCTATAAATTCATTACAGTAAACCGTTTCTGTGACAATTTGTGCACATATAAATTTTGTAGTAATGGACTGTTAACAGGGAAATATTTAATGAAGCATTTAGCAGAGATTGTATTTTTAAATGCGTCGTTTTCACCACAATTGGTTTCAGATTCTATTTCAGTCCTTTTTTATTGAATATTTTGGCACACTTTGGTAAATAGTAATAATATATTAATAATACTTATTAATAATAACTGATGATATTAACAATTTTACCGAAGTTTAGGATTTATATATTTTTAATTGCCCTATGGTTTTTATTGGCCTCTATTTTTTTCTTTGGCCTATTTCGGCCCGTGTTTTCTTTGGTCTGTTTCATCCTATTTATTCTTCAGCTTATTTCACCCTATTTTTTCTTCAGCCTATTTCATCCTATTTCCCCTTATCGCATTTGCTCTACTTATCCTTTATCCTATTTTCCTTTAGACTGATTTCTCTTATTCACCTCTTTCATCTATTTCTTCAGTCTATTTCAGCCTATTTTTCTTGTGCCCTATTGCCTAGTTTTTCCTTCGTCCTATTTGTGTATTTTGTCTATTTTCTAAATTTTGTCTACAACCTATTTCTTCCTATTTTCATTCGCACTATTTCCTTCAACCTATTTCACCCTTTTTTTTCCTTCACCCTATTTCATCTCATTTTTCCTTCAGCTTATTTCACCCTATTTTAATTTCAGCCTATTTCATCGTAATTTTCTTTCAGCCTGTTTTTTTCTTCAGTATATTTCTCCCTATTTTTCCTATGGTCTATTTCTCCCTATTTTTTCCCTTCAGGATATCTCACCCTATTTTTCCCTTCAGCCTATTTCACCCTATTTTTTTCTTCAGTCTATTTCACCCAACGTTACACCTATTATTATTATTATTATTATTATAATCAAGGAGGAGCGCTAAACCCATAGGATTATGCAGCGCCTGTAGAGGGGGATGTGGAAGCTATTCAGGATTAATCCAGGGAACTGGAATACAGATCCAATTCCCTAAATCAAGAGCCCCTCACCAACGTCAAGGAACCTTCCTTGAGGGGAACGTTTCGCCCAAACAGTGCGAAAATGTGTGTTCGAAATTTCATCAAACACTGCTCACTGCCAGACGTAAAATACCACCACCAGTTTTAAATTTCGTACAGTAAATGTCGGTTAATTCTACGGAAATCATGGTTAAGTTTATCACCCACAAACG